GGCATATCAGGCCAAGGAAACAGCTTTTCGCAAAGGAAATTGAATAATAGTGGGGAGAGGACACCATCCTGCGGAACCTTTTCTTTAATCCTCCTTAGTTTCGATGTTTAGCCTCAAAATTCTACTGATAATTGACGACCACTCAGATAGCCCATGATTCCCCTCTGCAACCCCGGGAATGCATGTAATACCGTAATTCATTCGTTTTTTTCATTGATTTCTTCAAAATATGATAACTTTGTGTATATTTGTGCGATTTAGGTAAAATATGCGGCGTTTTGTTCGTAAACTTGCTGCCAACGAGATGCCAACTTCATTATAGCCCTTTCGTAGAAGGCTGCGTCCCTATTGGCAAAAAACTCGGAGAGCCAATTTTCACAGGTCCCTCTTGAGGTCAACTTCTCCCTATTGAGCGCGTTCGCCATGGACAGTAAAAGATGGTAATCTCTTGGTGCCAGGTCCGGACCTTAATGTGGATGCATTAGGAACTCTCATTCGATCTCCTGGAGCTTCTGGCGTGTCAATAAAGACGTGTGTTGCCTGGCGTTGTCCTGATGGAACACAATTCGGCCTCTATTCATCAAAGATGGCCTCTTATGGATGAGTGCTGCCTTCAAGCGGTCCATTTGTTGGCAGTAGAGGGCCGAATTGAGCGTTTGGCCATAGAGGAGCAGCTCGTAGTAGATGATTTCTTGTCAATCCCACCAAACACACAGCAAAATCTTCCTGGCCATCAATACCATCTTGGCCACCGTCTGGGCCGCTTCACCGAGCTTTTACCTCGACCATGTTTCATCGTCAGTCGCAATCCGCTCCAGAAACGGGTCGATTTTGTTTCGATTCAGCGGCGAGTTGTAAAATATAGCGAATTTTCTCTGTCCACCTTTGACGAGCGCTTCCAGTTCTTCATACCGGATCACCGGCTCACTTAATACATTACCATCTGCAACGCTTCACGCGAATTTGCATATACCACCACCAAGCTGATTGCTGATGCCATTGCCAGAAAGGCGGCGCAAAGGACTCAATTTTGCATACCTTTAAAGACGGTTATAGAGTGAACGAGGTGTGGTGGCGGCAGTTTACTGTGCTCAACCAGAATAAAAATGATCATTCAAACTACTTAATCACTGTAGTATGCTCCAAACCGATATATATATATATATAATGCTATTGACCCTTTGTAACTGCTGAAGCGATTTTCAGCCGTGCTCCTTCCGCAATTTGTGGTTTTGCGTCTTGAGGTTTTACCAAAAAACGGAGGGACCTACAGGTTATACTAAGCCGGCTCCGAACGGCTGTTGGTATTTTATGAGAAGCTTTTATTTCATATGAAAAATGCACTCGGAGGAATTGCCTTTCCCTGGCGAGTGGTGACCGCAAGGTACTATAAGTACTGTGAAAATAATTTAAAAAACACATTATTAAAGACTGCAATCTCAAACGCACATTTTTATTTTACACTAGTAAGTAAGTAACTGGTAAACTTCTAGTCCCTAATGAACTAGAATTAGCTCCTTACTTAGCAACCAGTTCATAACTAGTTCACAGTGCTCTTCTGCTTGGTTTTATCCATATCTATGCACATATACGTACGTATGTACATATGTACGTACATTGAAAGAGTTTTCTATATATATATGTAAATATATATGTAAATACATATATGGAGCTAACAAATTTTGTTAAAATTCTCACAGAGTAAAGAGAAGAAGACAACTGCAAACTATTTCCTTGAATTTTCTCACCCAAATCGGTTATATGTAACAAATGTATGTACGTATGTATGTAATTAAATTGCTATTTTCGACTTGATGACGCTGAACTCATGAATGAATAGTTTGAATACACTTTGTTCAAGTTTTATATAAAATAAAGCAATTAAACTGTATGTGTAGATGTGTGTAAGCGGGCTCCACACGCACAGGGGTTTAAATATATTCAAATGTTAATATACATATCTACACGGATGTGTGTTCATAAGGCTTTATTTTGATATTAAATTTTGCCAAAAACGAATCGGCTTTATTACTTATTAGTGTGTGCATACATATATACATATAATATAATATGTAACGTCTGTTAAATAAGCTAACTAAATTTTGGCAGCTACACATTTAAATATGTGTGTGTGTGGGTGTGTGAAAACAGTTTCATGCAAATTCGACAACAAAAATAATATTTTAGTAATAATTGAGCGAATTTAAAGTTTAATATTTTTTGACATAATTTTATAGCTGACGAATGAATGCAAACATACACACATCATGGGCACGAAATGGGCAACGTATGTGCATATGTACGAGTATCTACATATGTGGGTGCCAGCCAGACTGGCAGCTTGCCTCTGATCTTCGGGCGCCATGTTGTTGGCATGACATGTTTAATACACTTTTTCGATAGATTTCCATGACGGATTATTTTGATTGTTCATTTGCATATGAATTGAGTGAAGTTTATTACATTTTTGACACTGGAAATATTAATCGGCATTAAGTAAACAAATTTTTGGTGTTTTGCCACGCACACAGCTGTCCATCATAAATTGTATTGAAATGCATAATGTAATTAGAGATAAAATGAAATTGTTTGCTTTAGAAACCATATTTTAGGGAGATATAAATGAATAATTAGAAAATTGTGTTTAGTTGGCAATTTATTTAAAATATTCGGCAAGATTCCAAATTTAGCAACATTTTACGTTTAGCAACATTCTACGTTAAGGAACATTCTTCGTTCAGCAACATTTTACCTTTACCAGCATTTTAACCAAGGCAATATTTTACATATGGCAATATTTACCTTTAGCAACATTTCACTTTTAGCAACAATTTACCTTTAGTAACTATTTACCTTTAACAAAACTTTACCTTTAGCAACGATTTACCTTTAACATTTTATTTTAGCAATATTTTATCTCTTTAACATTTCACCTTTAACATTTCACCTTTAACATTTCACCTTTAACATTTCACCTTTAACATTTCACCTTTAACATTTCACCTTTAACATTTAATATTTCAACTTTAATATTTCAACTTTAGTAACATTTCTTTAACATTTCACCTTTAACATTTCACCTTTAACATTTCACCTTTAACATTTCACCTTTAACATTTCACCTTTAACATTTCATCTTTAACATTTCACCTTTAACATTTCACCTTTAGCATTCCACCTTTAACATTCCACCTTTAACATTCCACCTTTAACATTCCACCTTTAACGTTTCATCTTTAATATTTCACCTTTAACATTTCACCTTTAATATTTCTTCTTTAACATTCCCCTTTAACATTTCACCTGTTGCATTTCTCCTGTAACATTTCACATTTAACATTTCACCTTTAACATTTCGCCTTTAGCATTTCACCTTTAATATTTCACCTTTAACATTCCCCTTTAACATTTCACCTGTTGCATTTCTCCTGTAACATTTCACATTTAATAGTTCACCTTTAATATTTCAACTTTAACATTTCACCTTTAGTAACATTTCACATTTAATAGTTCACCTTTAATATTTCAACTTTAACATTTCACCTTTATCAATATTTTCTCGTAACACATTTGGCTTACTTAAAATATTTTATGATTTTAGAGAAGGTATTCAGGGGTGTCCTTCATGCTGCTTCCCTGTCCTTCCTACATGCAATATGGTCAGTAGTACACTGTGAGCTGTATATGTAGGAGTGTTATAAGAGTATGTTTTGGCCTGCCATAGAATACAACCCTCCTAGTACCCTACAACTATTTTCATTCATTTTTTGTATACACTCTTTACCGTTTTGCATATTTCCAGTTTCCGCTCCTTCGTTAGAAGAATAACAATTTCAGCAATCTCACCTACTATTACGTTCCTCTCAGGGCCCAGTAGCCTGTACAAACTGCTTTTCGCATTGAAAATATTTTAATGAACCCACAACTTCAACGGTGCAGGTCTGATCCCCAGCCCGTCAGTTATTTATGAAACGTCCTAATGAATGTTTTAATCTTACGGCTCGTTTATGTGCCAATCACTCTTTTAGGGTAGGATAATTTTCCTGGTAGTTGAGGAGGAGCAGACGTTGCAATCATTTTGAGCGATTCCAAAATGTGGCCACAACAGTCGAGTGGTTAGTATTGCGTTCTAACTATAATCGCATTGCATTTCTGACCAGAAAAGCAAAGTTCCTCATAAAAATTCATCGATTAAATAAATAAACTGTAGGTCCCCCATTTGTCGAAAGAAACATTAAGAAACACGCCACATATTGGAGGACGAGATTGTCCAAAATCGCTTCAGTGCTTATAAAGCGCCTAATATAAACATATAAGTATATAACTTACTGTATATATTCGAAGACTTTCGATTTGTGCATTTTTGGACATGGTGAAGTATATCAAATCGAAAAAGTACAAGATTGGCTTGACTAGAGGCGTGGTGAACTATAGGCTCTCTCACACATTGGGCTTTCATATAAGCTTGTTACCCAAAATTACTCCGAGTTACTTTCAGCGTCTTTAGGTACTACTTAGTACACTTTCTTAAGCTTCGGAAGTCTCCAAGATGATACCAGGTTCCTTCTAGTTTTCTGGGTAGCTATGTATGGCTATACACATTATATCTAGAGGCATACCAGTCCCAAAAGCACTACCCATATGTGGAGTTATATAGAGGGAGCTCATTTGCTTATTTTCGATATGTATTTAGCTCCTGCCTCTGTCTAAGTTAGGTGTGTGCTTGGTTAATAATTTCCTCAGCGTAGCCACTACACACTTATCTACATCTTACATATTTTATTTTGTTAAATAACATAGCTTAGGGTGAGGCTCCCGTTCATATCCAGAAACGACCAACATCCAAAAGTTTTTGGGAATTAATATAAAAAAAATTATATTTTCTAAGTGCGGTTGCCCCTCGGCAAGAAATGTCAACCTCTCTGAATATATTTTTGACATGAAAACGAATATGTAAATAATATTATATTTAAATAATAATTTTTTTTTTAATTTTGCAGGTTAAATTAAAAAAAAATTATCACCATAAAAACCCACTTAAGGTAAGATTTAGAAATATAAATAAGTTTTCTTTAACTCTCTAGAAATATGAATTATATTTTAAAAAATATAACTATAAAATAAAAAAAAGATTATAAAATTTCCAAGCTAAAACCTTCCTCACAAATTGAAGAAACTGAAAAACTTCCATTAAAATTGCAAAACTACAATTAATTTCCGACAGAGCGAATTTGCTGAAAGTATTAATGTCAACACTTTCTTACAAGAAACTACATTATCACACAGTCCTTTTCTAAGGATTTGCACAAACACCAAGAAAACTTTCTTATTATGATAATAAAAGTACAAATTTCTTTCAGTTTATTTGTGTGAGGGCAAGGACAAGAGCAGATAAGAGCGAATAAAGAGTACGCAGATGAGTGTTTTTGTAAAATATTTGTGGTAGCAAATATGACAAAGGCTTTCTTTGTTTGTGGAAAAATAAATAAAATAAAAATATTAATCATTCATAAATACCTTTGTGATTGGTGAAAGTTTAAAAGGCTTGGAAAAATTTAAAACAAATTGTAAAATAAGCAAGAGAATTTATTGTTCACTTTCTCGCATTTGATGTTCAACACAAAATTCTTTCGGAGAACGATTCCTTATTAATAAGTACAGTAATATACATATGTATGTGGTAGCAGTCTAGCCAGTAAAAAGTGGGGTTATCCAGAAATGAAACTTAGATCGTTCCTTAATACAACTTCGAAACATTTGATTTCCCTGCCTGGGATCACTCCTTTTTAGCACTCTTTGGCCCTTTTTGTCATTAGAAAGAACGCAAAAGGAATGATTTTTTTTCCTCCAAAGAGAACCGAAATCTTACAAAATAAATCTGTAGGTCTGGTAAAAAGAAATCCATTATTTCTGCTTTAACTTGAAGGCTTTATTTACCATAATTATAAGTAATTATCCAATTAATGTATAATCTACACCGTTTTGCTCGATAATTTATTTTTTCATTTTGGAGGTGATGTCAAATTCGGAAAATCGATTTTCACAGGCTTCCTTTGAGGCTTATTCTTTACCTGCCAAATTATTTGCCATAGACAGTAAAGGATGGTATTCACTTGGTGCGTGGTTGGACTATAAGATGGATGCATAAGAATTTCCCAAAGGAGCTTCTGAAGAGTCACTATCGATATGTGTGGGCTGACGTTGTCCTGATGAAACACAATACCCTTCCTGTTGGCTATTGCTAAATGCTTCCAGCCATTTTTTTTCTTCAGATAGTCCAATTGCTGACACTACATGCCCGAATATAGATCTTGGTCTTAGGGTAGTCGCTCATAGTGGATTAGTCCTTGCCATTCCCACCAAATCCACAACATAACCTTTCTGCATATCAATCTTGGTTTGGAGGTCGTTTGTGTTGGCTCTTTGTCTTTTTATCATCGTCGGCTTACTACCCTTCCACCACTATCGTTTTCACTTGGTGTTACTGAAATTGTTAAAATTTTAACATTGATCATTCCTTTCAAAAATCGGTTGGTTTTGTTACGATTCAGCAGCAATTCACAGATAGAAATTCAGCTCAGCTCTCGTTAACTCATGTGGCACTCAAACTACGAGCTTTTTTGTGCAACCAGACTCTTGCAAGTGATTTCAGACTCGTTTTGTACAATGTTTAGCTCATGGGCAATCGGCAAATGGGCCACAGTCAACGATTTACACTACTTTTTATAAAAATAAAATAAAATTATGCATGATTGACTGCGATAGTGTAACGACTGTAAACATTTTCAGCTGCCTGTCTAGCGTTTACGCATTTTTATGGAAGAAAAATTATAGAATATGACGTATTTTCTCTTTAGTGGTGACCATCTTTGACATGCGCTCAAACACTACTAAGTTAAGTGATCACTTCTTCTATATTTTTTTTTTAGTGCAGACTAACTCGTTTCAAATGCCATCCAGCGTAATCCAATCGCTTTCATAGAACGCGAGATACAGACTACTAAAGCTAACTGTTGCAAAAATAATGGATTACTTTTTACTGGATATATAATAAACATATGGCCTACATTTAGGCAACTACTTAGTGGAGACACCTACCTAAGCATTGAGCGTTTATAGAAAAGGCGAATGATTTATAATGTTATTATTTATAAACGAGAATGACTTGAATTAACTAAAATTAAATAAATTAAATTTTAAATCCAATAAATTTACAAAAAAAAAAAAAAAATCTTAAAATATTTCACACACATTTTTTTTTGATATACACCTTTGACAGAATATTTGTTGCAAACTTTCTTTCCACATTCCATTCCACAAGCGCCGCAACACATGCAATTTTTATATATTATAAATGACGACTTACAGCATCACATCTGGGAAAACTCTCAAATTGTCGTATACTGCAGATTTACTAAGAATAAAAATGTTATACTCGTACATATTCACTGATTTCAAATACTGCATCGTCTAAAATACCAACAAAATTTTTGAACTTCTTGCATTTACCACATTTGCAGTGGCATAAAATCAACAACAACAACAACAATCAACTGAATCATTTACAAAAGTGTAATAATGCAAACACCAAAAAACACCAAAAATGTGTAAGTCAGCAAAATGAGAATGAAAAAAAAGTGAATAAAAAAGTCATATAAATAAAGTGACATTATACAGTTAAAAGGAAAATGCTTTGAAATGCATACGAGTATAAATATGACTACAGCCATGGGGTGACACAACAGGGCGTATGATTAATTGTATGCCACTGTTGCTATTGGCAGCAGATGTTGAGAATGTCATGGTATATTCGTATGTACTTATATGCATACATGTTCACATACATATATATTTTATACATGCATTTCTCTGCGATAAAGTGCAAACTGAGATTTTGTAGAAAATTCTTTACAAAATGCTCGAAAAGTGAATAGTTTGACTTAAGCTATTTCGTATAATAATAAGTATATATGTATGTACATATGTATGGAGTTGACTGTTGCGAAGAAAAAGTCGAATACTTAATACATTCACAGAGGATCTGGTACACTGGCATATACTTATGTATGTGTAATTTAGGGGTACAGATACAATAATACATACATATATATATATATATATTCATAGATAATGACTATTTTCCGTGTTGCTGGTATTAATCTGTTGAACATGTGTGCAATTGTATACAAATTTCTGTTTTTTTTTTATTTATTTTGTTTTTTTTTGAAAAAGCTTTTCCCATTCAAGGCTGTTCATCAGACATACTTGACGGGTTTCATTGTTTCTTTCAGAGTTACTAGTTCTTTCTATGCTTATTTTTATGCTAGACTGTATAATCATATGTACATGTATACCTAACTATGAAGACACAAATGCATATACGTACAACTACACATAATTTCCTTGCCTTTCCAAAAAATCTGGAATTTTACTGATTTTCGTCACTTTTATCACGTGCAGTCATTTGCCTTGCTTTCTGTGGTTTTCAAATTGCCGACACGAGTTTCAACATGAAAAATGCTCTCGATAGGCCATAATTGCTTATGCATATTATATACATACAGACAATACAGTACCAGAGTCAAAGGGAAGGAGAGAAAGCAGCATAGTAACGAGAAAATTTATACTTTTTTCAAAGAATTTCACCGAAGAGAAAGATATATCCAAAGTTCAGTTGTGGTTTCGGATATCAAACCATTTTTTTTATTGTTAAATTCTAGGAATTTAGTTAGTCAGAACACTGTAGGTACCAATTAAGTGGCTATCATTACGAAACTGTGCCATAAATATGAGAATTCTCAGAAAGAATGTTTTACAATTTTAAGCACAAAAATCATAGTTTCAGAAGCATCAGAGTTAATTAATTCTCTAAATCATTTTTAGATATACAACTACTATTTTACAAATGGCCTAAACTGTTTTAATTTTTTTGACATATTAATGAGCTTTGATGATTTTCTAGGCCGTTTTAGATTGGGTGTTGAGTTTTTATGTAAAATTTTTTTTTACTCATATCAGAAATAGATTCGTTGGGGTTGGCATTACCTGGCAAGGAATGATCGAAATTACATTTTTTTTAATAAAATGACCAGATTTTGAACCTATGACCTTCTTCATAGTTGCATACACATACACGGCTTCCTAAATAAAATTTTAATTTAAATTCCATGCTCTGTATAAAACGAGTAAATTTCAAAAAAATAAAAATAAAATTAAAATTAGAATATTGTCTAACTCATCTTCGTGGTGTTTCTTTGGTTTTTATTTTTTATATCTTTCATGTAATAATATAGTATATTAACATATATATTAATCTAAATCGAAGTATATTAGTATAGGAAGTTTTGTACCGTTCGGATCAGAATGATGCTTTGAATTCACTTAGCCATGTCTGTCTGTTTGTACACCAACTAGGCCCTCGGTCTTTGAGATAGATCAACTATACTACTATTTCAGCTTTTGAGACACAAAGCCATCAAAAGACATTCTAGGATAAGAAATATGATATTCTACTCACATCTTATAACGAGATCGGACGACCTGTAACACATAGCACCCAAAAATGAGGCGTCTAATCATAATAATTTTATTTTGGTCATGGAAGGTATAAAAAAGACATTTGCATGGCCGAAGACAGCTGTTCTATAAATGGTTAGTTGGTTGCTTGGTTGAAGTGTTTGCTGGGCATGACCTCACTTAGGTCCCAAGCGGCCCCATTGTGATATCACTGAGGATCCTAATTATACCCATCCGATAATCATACCAGGGTATGGAGTTTTCAGAGCTGAGCAGTCACCTCATCTTGACCTCCGCTATCTCGCTCAGGTCTCTGAGTGTAGCAGCCTTCAGAGACTTCACGGACACTCACTCTTTCGACTCTACTCCACTCTCTTATATTGATTTAAAAAGTGGAAAACAGAGTGGAATGGAAGTACCCTTTCTTGCAAACTCGTCCACCATCTTATTACCCGGTACCCACACCAGGTTCAGAGAGAACTGCTAGCCCTTGTGTTAAGCAATCTGCGCAGTCTCCTATGGTTTT